TCTTGAGCATCCACTATCAAGGTACCATGAATTTGGATTTGTTTCCCGTTCCTTGTAGCAATGCTCCTTTTCCTACAAACATATATTAATTTCTAATTTTTGGTACCCAAAATCTTTTGGGTCCATATTCATTAGTTTCCAAAATCCTAGTCCCCTTAGGTATCCATTTGTGTAGGATATCCTTATCTTTAGTAGTAATGAGCTCTTTAATAACCCATATACTTCTAATGATTTTTCCATTAGAGGTTCTTTGGGGACCTCTATGATTGTAGTTTTTAAAACTTTTTCGAACAAAGTTGGATTTTGAATTTTCTCCATTTTTAAAACGTTTATCAAAATAAGTTTTAAGATCATCAATTTTCTTTTGATGATCATCATTGACCTTTGAAAGTAAATTTTGCAAATCCAAAATTTTCTTTTCAAACTCTTCTAGTTTGATTTGCAAATCTTTGATTTTACTTTCAAGATCGTTGTTGGTTTTGGATATGAGTTTATTTTCATTTTTCAATTTTGAAACATCATTTTTATATTTTAAAAATAATTTCTCATAATCCGTAGCCAACCCATTATATTCCTCTAATAACCCATCATAGGATAAATCATCAAAATCAAATGAGTTAGAGGTTACCTTAGAATCTTCCCCGAATGCCATCAAGCACAAGTTTGCTACTTCTTGTTCCTCTTCATCGGAACCTTCTTCATCGCTCCATGTAGCCACATGAGCCTTGTGCTTATTCTTTGATTGACCCTTTCTCTTCAATTGTGGGCAATCATATTTGACATGCCCCGGCTTTTTGCATTCATAGCAAATGATCGGGTCCTTCTCTTTTGGTTCATTTTTTAGGCCTTCATTTCGTTTGAATTTTCTCCCTCGGTAAGGTCTCATCATTTTTTTGAACCGTTTGGCAAACAATTCCATTTCCTCATCATCGTCATTGTCATCTTCATCCGAATCACTCTCATTTTTTTGTGGATTTGAGAGTAACTCCAATGTTTTTCTTCTTCTCCTTCTCCTTTGGTGTCTCTTCAATCTTATCAAGGTCCACCTCATCTTCAAGCATCATTTCATGAGTGAGGAGTGAACCGATTAGCTCTTCAAGAGTTAAGGATGTTAGATCCTTAGACTCGATGATTACCGTCTTCTTTGATTGCCACGATTTTGGGAGGGAGTAGACTTACTTCCTCACAAGCTTTTCATTTGAAATGATCTCTCCATATGATTTGAGACCATTGACAATCGTTGAGAATCTATCCGTCATAGCTTTGATATCTTCATTTGGTTTCATCTTGAAATTTTCATAGCTATGCGTTAGAATACTAATTTTAGATTTCTTTACCTCATCGGTACCTTCATGAGTGACTTGAATTTTTTCCCATATTTCTTTGGCGGTTGTACAAGATGAAACTCTTCCGTATTCATCTGGTCCAAGAGCACAAAATATGATATGGATGGCTTTGGAGTTGAGCTGGAACATTTTTGTCTCTCCTTCACTCCATAATCTTGGATGAGTGAGAGGCTTGAAGTATCTTTCTTCTATGACATTCCATGCTCCCATGTCACTTGCTTGAATGAAGTACATCATCCTATTTTTCCAATAGGCATAATTAGCTCCATTGAAGAAAGGAGGCTTGTTGACGGGCATCGAATCGAGATCGGAGTCGAAGTTTAAAGTATAGGCCATTGATGACTTTGATTATCGATATAACTCTTCCCGAATCGACTCAAGAGGCGATTAAACCTTCAAATGAGTTAGGCTCTGATACCAATTGTTGAGTTAATCGATTGACAGAATTGGCCAAGAGGGGGGTGAATTGGCAATAAAAATTTTGGTGGAAGCTTTTGCAGAAAATTGAAAGAAATTGCACAGCGATTTAGAGTGGTTCGACTTTCTCAACCAAAGTCTACGTCCACTACCTTAGCTATCCACACTAAGGATTTTCCACAAATTCACTAATTTGTTTTTCTTTTGAGGACAAAGAGTAACCTTACAATCCCTCAAGAATTATACCCCAAATTCTTGAGAACACTCTCTCCCAAAGAGAACAATACAAATTTGCAAACTTACAAGAAAATCCTCACACGATAGATTGTTTGCACAATTCTATAACAAAGAAAAGAACACTCAAGAATGAATACAATTGAGCACAATAAGTGTTCTTGAAAGCAAAATGAATATTGATTGAAAAATAGGCTTGAAATGCTCAAACTTGAGGTTTGATGCTTTCTCTTTGATTCTCTCTTGATTCTAGTTGCTTGATGTTTCTTGTTCTTGATCAATGGCTTCTAAGCTTGCTTAAAATATACCTTGAATCACTTCTGAACATTGGGGATCATTAATGAAGATAATATAGACGTTTTAGTGTGAAATCAATTAATAAAACAGTTTGGAGCGTGGGGGAAATCGGTACCCCTTATGGGGAATCGGTTCCCTAAGTGTAAAATTCAAATATTTCGACTGTTACATAGGGGGAATCGGTTCCCTCCGAGCATACTGGAATTCTCGGAGCCAAACCATTCAGGGGGGAATCGGTACCCCCTTGGGGGGGAACCGGTTCCCTCTGAGCAATCTGGAATATTTGGCGTTGAGATGGTTCGAAATATTTTGTAAAATCGTTTTGAAATTATTTTAAGATTAAAACTTAATTTTACACTTGAGTAAAGATTAAAAATGACATTTGAAAGATTTAGAGTATTATTTTGATATTCGAATAATTATATCGAATATACTTAGAAAATCTTTTTGGAAAATCTTAAAATTCATTTAACTTAATTTGTTATATCGAAATATCAAAATGTTTTCAACAATATTCTACGAACATAAAACAAAAATGTAAAGGTTCATAAATACTCCTCCTTTGTGTACACTTATTTTGGGTACCTATTGACAGACAGAGGTTCGATATGTCTATACCTAGGGTGACCGTTCTACGGTTCACTATATGCATGGTTTCGGCTCTATCAGGAAAAAAATACTCAAATTGCCCTTGATGTCGGTGCCCCCTTGGGCTACCAAACCCTCAATCCTGGCCCATTACAGGCTCGTGAGGATCGAGTTCAATTCGAGAGGATACATTTTCTTATGTCCTTGTGGAGAAACAATTTATCTCACGTAGACATAAGGTATATGAACCCCAAAGATTACTTGCTTAAACCCGTACGGAGAAACAAATTATCTCACGTAGGTTAAGCTTTCATCTCAACTTAAAAATGACAAAGCTCGTAAGTGAACTTATGGTATGCAAATACTCGTTATGTGTGTGAGGAGGAATATTCAGCCCTTTGACTCAAGAGGAAAACGAAACCACTCGATAAAAACTTGGACAGATCTGAAAACAAAGATAAAAATGTTAGTATAACAAAAAAAATGAATCAATTAAAAACTTTAATAAATGAATCATAAATTAACTAAAGACTTGAACTCATAATTTTCACCAAACAACAATATGTAAAAGACTAACAGCCTGACTCTCTAAAAAAATTCCCCAGCGGAGTCGCCAAGCTTTCGTAACCGTTTTTCGGGTGGAACAATCGTTAATTGTTTTAAAACAGTTACGACTTTTAATTTTGGAAAAATTGACGGTTTTGAATTAATTTGGATAGAATTGGATAGAGTCGCCATCAACCTTTGGACTAGGTAGGTCGAATACCTAAAAATATCTTTTAAAAACAATTTTATGAAAAATCATTTTTTAAGAGAAAAATTGGTCTTCGTTTTCCAAAGATTTGATTAAAACGGGTTCGAAAGTCGGTTACGCGTGGGGAAGGATTAGCACCCCCACAACGCCCAAAATTGGTACTGTGTGGCATATACGTTGTCGTAATGGTGAAAATCCTGAATCAAATATCAAGTTAAAATATGATCCGTTTATTGAAATTTAATTAATTTACTTCATATTAATAACTTAAAGAAAATAAATAAAATAAAATAAGTAGTTAAACTTATAAGAACCAAAATAATTAGAACAAAAACTTAAAGGGTTAATAAACCAAAATCAAAAATTACAAACATTAAATAACACATGTACTAAAATGAAAATAATCCAAAAATGAAATTTAGAACTAAAGTGCAACAAATCAAAAACTTGAAGGCTAAATCACAATTAAACCAAATTAAAACAAGGACTAAAACGATGTATTTACAAACATCATAGCCAAATTTGAATAATATCAAAAATACACAAATACATTAAATCAATGACTAATATGTAATATTTATAAATATTATGCACAAAATCAAATATTAACATAACATGTAATAATGTCGAGTTATGCACATGAAGATAACATACAATATTAATTAAAAGATGCCTTATACCTAATTTATTAATCAAAATGAATAAAACTATATATGTAATTTATAAACAATCAAAAACTAATAATAACTAAATATTGTTAAGAAGATATACATACACATTCTAATAATAACATACAAAAGAAATAAACATTAAATATATACATGCGATTTAATTTAAACATATTATTATTATTATATCATTCAATAACACATAAATTTGACTAGGTTTAATGCAATATTTTATATTTTAAACGTGTACAAACAATAGTAATTAACTTTGGGCACTAACTAACAAAGATAAATGAATTTGGAGCTATCCACGTGGTAAGCAATAAATCTAAGGTTAAAACCATAAAATAAAATAAAAACAAAAGTTATAAAACACTAAATGGAGTGGCCATTTAGCCTTAAAATATTAAACAATTATTGTCATATTACTAACCCAATTTTAACCCATTTTATTTTTCGTGCGCCTGGTTCCTTCTCTGTTGCTCTTAACTAGGAGTGTAAACGAGCCAAGTCAACTCGAGTATTGTCGAACTCAACTCAAATTCGAAAACTTTATATGTAAACTCGACTAAACTCAAAAACTCGCAAACCTAAAATTCTCAAACTCGACTCAAACTCGAAAGATAATATTAAAACTCGACTCGAATTCGAAAAGGCTCAAAATAAAAAAGAACTCAAAAACTCAATTCAAGCTCGTTTTTGAGCTCAATTCAAGCTCGTTTCTGAGCTTGATTCAAGCTCAATCCTCCTCTGCAAGCAAGCTACTATGAAAGGTTCTCACCCTCAAAAAAATAAATTTAATATCGTATGAGCCATTAAGCCTACGATTCAGATATTAAGCTAATAAACACATACTACACTTCACCTTAGCCAAAAGGCGGAGAAAGATATACTAACACATGTGTTAGTCCACTCCTTTTATAACTGACTCCAGCGCTCTGACTCTCTTTAGCGTCCGTTGTGGGATAAAAATTCAAAAGGCTTTGGACTAACAAGGAGCCTTTTTCTGCGCAATAGCGCCACCTTGTCTTCCCAGCCATGGAGCATCTTTTACTTTTCCTTTCTTCCTATCCTTTATGCTCTGTAAATATTTAGATTTATAAACTTTGAGTTGCATTCAAAATCAATCAATAAATCAATAAATCATATAAGGATGGTGGAGATTGAGACTATTATATAAAAAGTTAGTATGGGTTTTCGATGAAAATCAAAGCAAAGAGCAATCAACTTTGTTTCTGATTTTAAACAAGTAATCTCTTGAAAATGCTATAGCATGACATGACTGGTGGGTTAGGAGCTCAAGTTATTGAGTGCACAGCAGGAAAAAGAGGAAGCCCTGCCAACTAATCACCTTTAGTTTTTTTTCATGAACCATTAGTGCATTGGAATTTGACTATATAGTAATGATATCTTCTTCTTTCTTTGCCATTTCCTTTTTGTTCAAAGGTCACTTGCGCTCCTGCATTGGCAGTTATAATTTAGCTATTTAAAAAAGACAGAACAAACTCAAGGAAGAAAGTACATTTCCTTTTCCCATTCTTTCTTGGCATTAGTTTCAGGTTAAGATTTTCATTATCCACATCATATCTTGTAGGGGTCGGTAGAATGGTTCGATATTCCTCTGATCATGAAGTTAATGTTACATTACATCAATGGAGATGTTACAAGAGCTTTTGCAGTGCAGTCTTTGTTCTGAAGATCAAGTGGATCTAAACAGATCTATTGGTGAGCAGTAAATCAAGTATGCAATGTTTTCTCAAGATGGAGGAAATGCACCAAGCCCTTATGGTTTTCCTAATCCTAGTTGCATGAAACATTTTCGTTCAATTTATTGTTGTTCAGTCATCAACAAGTGCATCTTGTTGCTAGAATGACAAAGTTCTTGCCTAAGCTTATTGCAAGCAACTGGTCTGTATTCATTCAAAGGCATAATATTTCTGATAACATCCTCTTGTTAGTAATAATTTCCTGCATATTATATAGACATAATATTTTGATAATTAAATTTATTATTATAATCATTTGTATTTTTATTATATAATATTCTCCTTAAATAATACTATTAATTATTCTAAAGTCGAATTGATTATTATTATGGGCACAATAATATATTGGACTTAATATTAAGTTTGATTGATATTCAAAAGATAAATATGTATATAAGATACAAATCAAATTCATATATAATGAGAATCATATATTGAGATATGATCAATTAAAATAAAATGTTTCCTTCTTATTGTAAGAGAGATATCTCTAGGTCTCTTGACAATTGAGACTAAAAAATGCATGACCTTTTCAAATAAATAAATGAATTGTTTAATCAAATTAATTGTTTTCGAGAAATTAAAGATGTAACAATCAAATAAAATTGATGTTTTGATCACCGTTTGTTTTGATAATGAACCTATTTATTGATTTGACCAAGTGTGATTTATTAGTTTATTTATATATAAACCCTTGTTAATTTCATTAATTTTATTTTTGCATAATTTGTATGTTACCTTCATGTGCATAACTTAACCTCTATCACATAATTGAATTAAAGGTTTAGGGCTTAGGGCTTAGGGTTTATGGTTTGGGATTTAGGGTTTGTAGTGTATAGTTTATAGCTTAGGGTGTAATCTAACATGTGATTAATTAAATAGGCTTTTATTTTTCTTTTAGTATCCTATCACATAATCAGATTAAGGGTTTAGGGTTTAGTGCTTAGGATTTAAGATTTAGGGTTTATGGTTTAAAGTTTAGGGTGTAATCTAATATGTGCTTAATTAATTGGGCTTTTATTTTTCTTTTAGTAATATACAATGTAACAATTGGACTTGGGTTGCTTAATTAAAAAAATTAAAATTTGAGGTAGTTGTATTATAGAATTTTTAATATATTTTTAAAATTTTATAATTATCAATAATGTATTTTTAATAAATTTTTTATAATGTAATTTTAAAAAATATAAAATTATAATATAAAATTTTTTCGAGTTGCTCACGAGCTTTTCGAGTCGAATATCGAGTAGCTCGTTTCGGCTCGTTAAGAACTCAAGTCGAGCTCGACTCGAGTCCATTCGATCCGATTATTTATCGAGCCTTGATCGAGTCGATCTCGAGTAGCTCGCGATCTGTCTCGTCTCATTTACAGACCTACTCTTAACCCCTTCCTTTTCCTTGTACTCTTTCTTTCATTCTTTCTTTCTCCAAACCGATTACCATGCATTAGTAAGGTATGCTAAACTAAACTTAATACTTAGTAAATCGTTCCCTTTATTTTCTTTTCAAACCGGAAGCTCCAAGGTCATTCACACCATGTACTTACCGGCGTTATTCTCTCTTCACAGTCACCAAAACGACCGAGCAAGCCTAGACCTAACCAAGAGACCTCTTCTATTCTAATGGTCTTGATTCCAACGAGGACACCAATAACATAGTAACCCCAAAACCCTCTCAATCGACCTCTAAATGACCAAAACCAGTCCCTAAACCTCTCGAAGCCAAACCACAACTGCTCGTCTCACGGTCAAGGTAAGTTCTCTCTATCTCGCTCTTTTCCGTTTCGAAAAAAAATTATTTACCAAGACTAAAATCAATTCTTCTTCTCAGAACCCGAACAGTGATGGAGTCAATGAGACTTCACTGGAACTCGCACAATTCAGGTAAATTAACCCAAATCCCTCTTTTTTATTATTATCTTATATCAACCTACTTATTTTGCTTATGATCAAACATGCGTTGATTTCTTTGGATTAATTATTGTAATAAATAACAGATTGTTCTACTGCTAATTTGGGTTTGAAAATAAAAAAAAAAAAAATAAAGCAACATATACTGGAAATTGAAACAAAACTAGGAATACCTCAAAATGTTTTTATTGCTTTCGAATGGAGGGATGGAATATTTCCCCTGTTTACAATTGATTTCTTTTCGAAGAAAAATTAACCCTCTATCTGATACCAGTATTTTGAATATGATCAGGATTTTTCCTCCAATATGAGCTTTTTTTTTTCTCTGTTTGTATTTGTGATCTTTTTTTTTTCTTTCTCCTCTGCTCCCCCTTTTATTGCTCGTTGTTCTCTGTCCTTTTATGGTTGCAATTCAATAATTTGGTGATGACTTTGATCGATGAAATCTGGTTGTAGCAGGTTGAATCCCGGATTATACGGATTTATTTTGTTTTTTAAACGTTTTTTCAATGTAGTGGTTGGCTCAATATTAATGATATTTTGTCCCCTCCCCTTTCCTATTGTGACTTGCATGTTCTTGTCTTGAATGTAGGAATCACTGTGCCCCACGAGCATGACTTTATCATGGTGAGTCATATAGTTGTTTGATATGGTGATTGCGGTGGACCCATGAATGGAATCAACCAGACCATCATTACAATTTGACAAGGAGTTATGATCCACCCAAACAAGGCTACCGCCAAAGATGGATACATCGTCGCCATCCGATATGGTTCACCAAGCATAATGCTTCGGAAAGTCCCTCACCATAGCATTTCCTCTTTGCTTGCAATCATGGATGTTTAGGCTCGGGTTATATTGGGCTTGCAACAAAAATGTAATAATAATATTAATGATATAATAATAATAATAATATATAATTAATATTTATAATATTTTTTTAATCTCGGTCAAAAACGGATGCCTACATATGACAAGAAATAAGGTTATTACACCTGTCAGTGCTGGGTCTTGGTTTCAACGAAGATCCATGAAACCATCTATCCTCCAAACAAATTTACAGATTTAACGATTAATAAAGACCAAGAGTAACGGAAAATTTGTTTCTCGTTTCAGAAAAATCATCAGATTCAGACTTCCAACACAATTCTAGTTTCCTGAATTCCAAGGCATGCAGAGGGATAAAGTAATAAACATACAATTATCTTATAAAGAAACACATTTACATATACATGTATGTATGTAAACCATTCATTCTATGGCTTTTTCGATGTTTGTTTATACAGATCCTGGTTGCTTCATCGGTCGGAATCATCGTTGCAGCGGAGCAGTAGCATGTAAAGAAACGAATGGATCAAAAGATCATTCCACGCCTGAGAACAAGATAGACGAGCTGGGGTCGCCTTGAAATGCTTGAAAGCTTCCCTAACTACGTAGGTAATATGATTTGATCTTATGTCTTGTCCTGGCTTCATTTACGTGCACCTTTGACATTCTTTTCATCTCTGTTTTCATCTAGACAGATGGGGTTGAAAGATAAAAGAAGTTGTCCATTGCTCTGCAAGTTAGCAGTAGAATACATCAGAAAATGCGAAAGCTGCGAAGACGATATCTGTTCATATTTTTCTAATGAGTCTGATGTGGATTCCCAGTATGTTAAGCTTGTGGAAGAGTTTGAGAGATGCATACTTTGTTATTTTGCATTTCATTGGAGCCATGCAGATATCATGATCATTCAGGTAATCGGTGTATGTATATGTATATGTATGTATGTATTATGCCACATAGAGCAAGTGACTTGTTTTATGCCACATTGTTTCAGGTATTAAGTGCTGATGCTGCACCCAAGAAAAAGCTCAAGCAGATTTTCATGGCAGCAACTAGGTTGGGCATACTGTTTTTTAATCAATGTTATTGTCACTTTAGCTATATCCTTTCACAAAACGAAACTTGGAGTTCTAAAATCTTGAAAAAGTAGCCTACGTATAGTCTCTAACAATTGTTATCGTCGCTGACTAGTAATACTAATTCCGACAAAAGAAACTTTGGTTTTCTAATATAGGGAACAAAGATTCGAGAGGGTGACGAAAAACCTGAAGGTGGCTAGTGTTTTCAATACATTGGTTGAAGAAATGAAAGCAATGGGGCATACCTCATCTGATGATTCTCAATGTACGGAGGTGATGGCTCTGGTGGCTCACAGTGATAGAAGTCCAGTGCTGCTACTCATGGGAGGTGGAATGGGAGCCGGAAAGAGTACAGTCCTCAAGGACATTCTCAAAGAGTAAGCTTTTGTTCCTGCATATCTAGAAAGTTTGCATTGAATTTATTAGTAACGATGAGCAATTACAAGGAACTTGCATCAATTGCTGTGCATAAAATATTGGTAGAACATTCTGGGCAGGCGCAACGGCGAATGCAGTTGTGATCAACGAAGATGCATTCAAAGAATCAGATGTCATATACAGAGCCCTCAGCTCCAAAGGCCATGCAGACATGGTTCGTTCAGCTGAACTGGTAAGAGTCAATTTTGCAGCCTTATCGACTATATTAGCAGTCCTTCCGTCGATATATCTTTACGTTCTACAGTTATAAATCTTTCATTTTTCTGATCTCCACAAGGTCATCATAGACTCATAGTTCCCAAACAAACACCTCCATGTTAAATGTACAAATGAACCAAAAACACTTCAAAAGTAAATAAATAATTTGGTAACCGTATGAATGCTTCTTATGGTACCATCAACCTGGAACTTGGTTTTTATTCCAAACAGGTGCACCAATCATCTACAGATGCAGCATCATCCCTACTTGTGACAGCACTGAATGAAGGGCGAGATGTGATCATGGATGGAACACTCTCCTGGATACCATTTGTTCTGCAAACAATAACTATGGCCAGATGTGTCCACTGCCAGCGATATCATTGGGGGTTGGTTACAGGCAACAACCTGATGGGACTGTTATTGAAAATTACTGGGAACAAATTGAATAAGGAGATCAATCTCCAAAAGGAGGTAAAAAGAGGAAGCCATACAGAATAGAGCTGGTCGGGGTTGTTTGCGACGCCTATTTAGCGGTTATTAGAGGCATAAGGTACGGCGACGTGGAAACTACCTAATAATGTATCCTTTACCATTTACCTGAGATACTGATTTTATCAAGGGATTCAATATTTACAGGAGAGCTATAATGTGTAGACGAGCTGTAAGGGTGAAATCACAATTGAAATCCCTCAAGAGATTTGCAAATGCATTTCCAACATACTGCCAACCGGTTGACAATGCTAGGCTATATTCCACTAATGTTCTTGAAGGTCCACCTAAGGTGAATAAACTATCCCACATTTTTAATCTTAGTTTCTCTAGTGGCATAAAACTAGAAGTTCACTACAGAATTTTAACTCTGGAACCTAAGAACAACTAGAACGGAGCCTGATTATATCAGAATGACCCATCTTGAATCACTAAGATGGTAGAAGTTTGTTGTACCTCCTCCGCATCTTCGGAGGAAGAATCTCAAACACATGACATATTTTACATGATCTATCGTAGACCAGAACTAAATTTACTGACAGCTAATCATATCTACTTAGCCTGCCAACCTATGGATAACTATAATGACCCTACGACTAACACCAATATTAAAAGTCGCTATAAAACCTCTCGATTAGGATCGAGTGAAGGGGTGGAACTCATTATCCTCCTCCACCATTCAATCCTCCTCTACTTCCATATGTAGACAGAGGACTTAACGACTGCTTCTCCACCGGTTGCGATTTTTCGCGCAAATTAAAAGAAGTGAACCTAAAAGAAGTGACCGGTTGTTCCATTTGTTCCATCAACAATAGTCTTGTTAGTCACGGTCACAGATAGCTGCAGCATACTGAGCAGGAACTTTCATTGCTAGCAAAATTACTCCATGCAGCCAATTATGTAACATTAACATAACAATTTGTGAAGTTGATAGGATGGAAAGACAGAGAAAGAACCTTGCTAGTTGATCCAGATGAGATTGACTGTTTAAAGCAGGTTGGCAGGCTGAACGAAGACTCCGAGTCCATATACGAACTTTACAAGCATCCCAACTCGTCTTGTGAAGCTGGTTTAATTTGGAAAGACATTGTACTATCACCTTCTAGATTAAATATTCAAAAGGAGCTGAAGTTTACCATCCAGAAAGTGGAAAGAATGGCACAGCTCTAATGAGTTTCAAGCTTATGAATATTTACCAACAAAAATTGCAAGCTGAAGAAGGTGTCTCAAACCTTTTTTATTTAGTTATGACCAAGAATGTCTATCAAGGTTGTATTGAAATCATGAAGCATATGTGTGCCATTTTTGTCACTTGTAAAGCTCAGTTCAGATACTGGAGCTGAAAAACAATACTCCTATTTTTTATTTTTTTTTTGATAGAAAAAAAAACAATACTCCCATTAATAGTTTCAATAATCTTCTGCTAGTATCAGTAGTAGGTGTGGAGCTGAAAATTGGAACTCCAAAATGGAATTTAAAAGGAAAAGAAAGAGCAGTCACAGCAGCAACTTGAGCAAAATAAACTCCTACCCCACAATTTAATTAATGCAAACTGAGCATGATTTCTATTACCATTATTGTACTTCTTTCGGATCTCCTCAGTAAGACCATTCTTTGTACATAAGGTCCCTGGAGAACTCCGTAATTAAGATCCCGGGAGAACATCTTTGGACATAAGAAAATCATGACCCTTTAAGAGATCAACATAATTTACTAGAATCAAAACCAAATTAACAGCTGATCATAACTATCAGGCATATCAACCTATAAATAACCAACATGACCTTACAATTGACATCAACATTTAGGATCACTATAAAATCTCTCATTCCAAACTGAGAGAAGTATACAGAACCATATCTCCACTTCTTCCACCATTTGCTTCTTATGAAAACAGAGAATCTGAACACCGGCCAACTACCATGTAACCACTAGCGCGACTCTCCACCCAAATTAAAACAAAAAGGAGTGAATCACCTAAAATTATAAATGATCTCAACCCAAACCATCAAATTTAAAGACATGCATCAACACAAACATACAACTAAAGAAAGAGCATGGATGCTAGCTTTCAACCCATAAACAAACAAAGAAAATATGATAATGAACCAAAATGACGAAAAAAGGTTAATCAAGACAGTGAATGGGAATAACTAGTTATGATCGCTCCCTAAATGAAACCTGACATTTTACTCATTTTGAAGTTAGAATTACAAGCAGATCAAATCTTCAAGAATTCCCAATTTTGGCAGAGTGATTCTGCAAATACCATATCTACTCCTCACCTCTATTCAATCATTTTGCCCCATCTCTTCTCAACTACTTGAAACCTAAAGGTATCCAAAGTTTTTCATGGAAGAAACTCTCAAAATGGAAATCAATTCAAATCTAGAACCAACCAATGTTTAAATCGTCCATCAAAATTAGGTGAAGCTTTTAGGATAGAAACAAAATCAAAAATAAAAATGGAGCAACTCATTCCCAAATAAATGCAGAGCTTTTAAATTTGCTTGGAAGGTGAGTAAACTCTATGTGCCTCCAATTTAAACCAGGCTTGGCTTGATTAATTTGATCAACAATGGCAGGCACAAATCAAACATCATTATTTGACATAATTATACGAATTTCAGTATTTGAAAAGAAGCTCAAACCTCAGCTTCCATGTCTGGAATCAGTGCATCTGCAGATAAGAGCTTTAGCCCTCCGGCGATCCATGCAACTTCTTCAACAAGCCAGCGTTTCTTAATCTATTCCAAGCAACCTAAAATATAAAACCTTAATCACGCAGACGAGACAAAGATCAAAGCTCTAATTTCATATATTAAACGGAAAATTGGATCAAAAGGATATTAGAAATTTAACATTTAAAAAAGGGTGTAAGAGAACAGATTTAAGATCCTATGTCATATTTCTCTCTCGGTTATACATTGACCCAAATACATTCACTAAGCTTCAACACTCAAATTTACAAAACTACCCATACAGGACTAGGCTTTCTTTCCTTCATTTCCTTCCTCTTCTCGGCGTGGTTCTCTTTGCTGTTGACTTGACACTCTTCGGCTTAACGCCCTTCGCCGGAGCTTTTTTAGCTGCGGGAGCCTTCTTCGGCGGAGCTTTCTTTGCAGCTGGCTTCGGAGGAGGAGGAGCAGCCGCCGCCTTCTTCCCCGGAGAAGCCCTTGTCGAGGTTCTGGCAGCTTTGACCGGCTTATCCTTAGGCTTGGCTGCAGCCTTCGACTTGGTAGCTGGAGTAGTCTTCGGCTTAACAGAAGCCACCGCCTTCGTCTTTGTCGGAACAGACTTAGCTTTAGGAGCAGCCTTTGGTTTAGCCGCCGGCTTGCTCTTGGACTTAGAAGCAGGTTTCTTCTTAGCCGGAGCTTTAGAACCAGGTTTTGCATTCTTCCCTTCCTTAGCCTTCGAAACAGGCTTAGACTTCGCCTTAGTAGCGGCTGGCTTCTTCTTAGCAGGAGCAGAAGCAGTGGCAGCCGGCTTCGAGGACCTCGCCGTAGGTAGCTTATACGAATTCTTAACCTTTGTCAACTTCCCAGCAGCCACAAGCTTCTTCAAATGGAAGAGTAAAAGCTTCTTAAAATTCCCAGGAAGCTGCTTCTGTTTCCCTTCTATGAACTTAGCAATGGCGTACTGACTTGAACCCGTCCTCTCCTTCAAGCTAACAATCGCATCCTTGATCATCTGCGACAGAACCAACCATATATCAACACATAATCAAGACCCAAAAACAAAAACAATATGAATTATTAAATACCTCCTCGTAAGTAGGATGGGTAAAAGATACACGTGACTTCTTCGGAGCTGCAGCTTTCTTTGGCTTGGATTCTTTGGCTTTCCGTGCTCTGCCGGATTTAGTACCGGCTTTGGTCTCTCCAGGATTTTCTTCCGCCGTCTCCGGCTCTGCGCCTACCTCGACTGTTGGTTCCTCGGTGGCCATTTGGGATAAACTAAGAAATCGGCGATTTTTGGATCCAATCTTTAAGGTGGAGATTCACTGGTACTTTTCTTCTGTGAGGAAGAAGATGGAAATGAATTGATTTAAATACACAAATGTGAGAGAGACGGTATCCATTAGATGAAATTTGATTGGTGGAGACTACCATCACGAGGATCTCTGTCTGTCTTTATGTTTAAATACGGATCGTCGGATAAGGCGTTATCTACGGTTCAAGATTTTTGGGGTGGAAAACAATGGAGTAGGGAGGAATGAGGGAGAATTTGATGTTTTCAACATTTTAGGTGTGCTTTTGGTCTCCATTGATTTGAGCATAACTTGAGTTATATTTGATGAAAAAAATTAATTTTTCCCCATTGTGTAGTTTATTATATAGGCTTTATAATGAATATTTTTACATAATATTTTGTTGTTTCAATTGTGAGAAATTTAATTTTGAAGCTACATTGGTCAAAATCATGGTTTACCATGATGTTATTGTGGTTTGAGAGGAATTTAAGAGAATGCTTAGTTTTAATTTTAAATTTCTTCATCTCATTTGATAATATATTAATGAAGGGAGCTATTGCTTCAGGAATCATAAAAATTGGTTAAGAATTGAATGGAAAAGTTCATTTGGAATATTGTTGAAGTTGAACATGTTCTATTGATATTTGATATGTATCATGACACATTATATCATTCAATTCATGAAAATCATAAATGAAAACAAATTTAACTTCAAACAAAACTTTTTTTGTTATGTTGTATGTGATTGTTATTCATTGCATATGTTAATCATGAACATCAAATACAAATTACACATCCATTACTTAATGACAACAATTTATTTATTTATACTGCTTAGCATGTAGGCAAATTACACATCCATTACTTAATGACAACAATTTATTTATTTATACTGCTTAGCATGTAGGCTCACTTTTGATAGTCACCTTTTACTTCCATACTTATATATTTATTCTAATAATCTTATTTCATTATTTTATTAATATGAGGTAAGTACAATGCAGTATATGTTATAAGATTACTCTAAACAATCTGACATTCAATATTCACACCTGTGACATTCATGGTGCTCGAATATGGGACTTCAAAGAATAACAACAAATTATTTACCACCAATGTCATTTAGTTCGTGCTAATCATCTTATTTCTTGACTATATATCAAATCATTAAACCTAATATACATGTTTGAACGAATTACTGTTGACTTCAGGGTCGGCCCTGGGCCAGGCAGGAGGGGCACCCACCCAGGACCCACAAAATATATTTTTTCAATATAATATTTTTTAATTTTTTTGATAATAAATTAAAATATTGTAAAATAAAATAGAGTAATCTATGCATTTAGTACCTATACTATCAGCTTTGATCCGTTTTAGTATCTAATTTTTTTTTAAAAAAAAATCAAAATCATATCTAACTTTTAGTTTACTCGTCGTTAAAAACTGAAAGCGTTTAGTACATAACTATCAGTTTTGGTTTGTTTTAGAACCTAAAATTTCAAAAAAAAATAAAAATAAAAATTAATGTTAAATTTTGAATGGACACTAAAATGAAATAAAAAAAATAAAGTTTTTAAAGGTGGGTACTAAAATGAAACAAAAACTAAACTTTGCGTATGATTTTGAAAAAAAATTAAAATTTTAAATATTAAAACAGATCAAAACTGGTAATTTAGGTATTAAATACATAATTTGCTCAATAAAATAATGAGGCCCATAAATTTATTAAGGTGTCAATTATCTTTATTGAATTTTATATTAATGTTAATAAATTATTCTTTCATAAAATTCTACTTTAATATTTCTTTCTCAAAATTCAAAAAAAAACAATTGAACTCTTTAATTTTGGTCTTTTCAAATTCTCACTATCAATTCACCGAATCTCTTTCCCGATTTTTCATATCAATGAAAAAATTTATTAACATTATTTTTTTCAAAACTTAATGAGAGGAAAAAATTTAAGTATAATTAGTATGTTTTTTTCTATTTCATGTTTCACGATTCATCTGAAAATTATTATTCTCATTTTTAATTTATCATATTTGTATCACACGTAAAGTCACAATTGTTTGTTATCAATTATGGTGCTTGAATAATATTGAAGATTGTTCTTAAAATTCTAGATAGATCGTGTTTCCAAATTCTTTCTTTTAATTTTATATATTTTCAAATTCTAGAAAAGATCGTTCTTTCATTTTCAACTGTTATGTTGTGTATTGAGAAAAATATATTGGAAAGAATTGATGTTGGCTCTATCAGCAATGGTTTTGCATTAAAATATTCGAATGTAATATTTTTTTATAAGTATTTGTATTCTTAAATATATTTTTTGACATCTTTTATTTATATTGTAATGAAATACTTTTTTTAATTTTAAAAAATTTATATTAGATATTTCTTAATTTTTTATATTAGGGGACTATTTCTTTAATTTTCGTCCCGAGCCAAAAATAATCAGGACCAACCCTGGTTGACTTGTTATATTTTTAAGGCATAATCCAAAAATTAGCATCCTAATGTTTATTAAAATTGTCATTTTTCTTCATATTCTACTTTTTGGAGCATTTTTACCCCCAATATTTCATTTTAGGACAAAAATGTCCCTAACATTTAACAGAATAATCATTTTGTCCTTTATTATTTTTTCCTAGTGCATTTTAGCCCTCAATATTTCATTTTAAGTTAAAAATGCTCATATTTTATAGCATTAATTGTGTGTTAACTAATGATTTTTATCAATAGAGGGAGCTTTTTGCCCCCAAAGTGAAACGTTGGGGGCCTAAAATGCTCCCAAAAAAATAGGAACTAAAATGACCATTTTAAGAAACATTAGGAGCTGTTTTTAACATTATGCCTATTTTTTATTTACTATCATATTTTTTTCTATACAAGTGGTTTAAGTTCATCGTCATGTGTTTCATTTACTTGTTTAAATATTAATTAAGAAAATATGATAATAGATTTTAATTGCTTGTGAAAAAAAATTCATTGACAATATCTCAAATAATAAGCTTATAGATACGAATCAAACAATTACAAATCAAAAGCAACAAGTTGTTTAAGTTCATCGTCATGTGTTTCATTTACTTGTTTAAATATTAATTAAGAAAATATGATAATAGATTTTAATTGCTTGTGAAAAAAAATTCATTGACAATATCTCAAATAATAAGCTTATAGATACGAATCAAACAATTACAAATCAAAAGCAACAAGTTAATTACCATCAAAATTGTTGTTTTAATGATTATCATCTTCAATATTGAATCTTTAATCTTATAGAGTTGAAAAAATTTGTTAAGAATTATAAATAACCATCTTTAATGATTTATTTCATGTTTCATGTAGAATTTCTAATATTTTTATGATGTGTTCGGTTTATGAAAAAATTATTATCAGACTAATAATATTTTTTAGAATTGTATTATCACTTTTTTGTTTACATTATTCTATATGAGTAATAATTTTTTGCCAACAATAAATTTTATTTTCCTCAAATGTTGGGATCATCATCATCATCCATTCTTAGGTATTGTACAATTTTGTCTTTGGGTATTGTAGAATTTTGTCTTTGGATCATAATACATTTAGAATAAGAGTTTTTTTATATGGATCAATTATTGTATTTTTAACTAGATGATTAATTATTTGGTTGTAAATTTATTAAATAATTTTATTTTATATTAGTTTAATATTTAAATGATGTTATAAACATTTAAATAATATTTTATTATTTAATATATTTTTATTAATATTATTTTTATAATGTTTCTAAGGTTGTATGGTAGGGTTATATGTTGTATGGGAATGAATAAAGACTTAATGTTATTAATTTTATTATTTTATGTTTCTTATCTTGAAAAGAATACGTTTTAATAGGTTAAATTTATGATATATAATTTTTTATCACTATTTTACTAATTTTATATATGTGTTATTATTTTTTAATATAATTTATTTGACAAATTATCATAAGCAATAAAAATTAAACATATTGAACGATTATGATTTGATAAATGACAAAATAGTTTGAAGAGTAACGAATACATACAGATATATAATTTATCTTTTAATTATTTAATATAATAATCATTTCATTGTTTGTCGAATATAAAGTTTTTGGAAAATTTAAATGAATGTAATTTTATCATTTTTACATTATTTAAATTTAAAGGGATCGTTCATTTTTTACGGAGATTGATCCTTTACAATCTAGTAGTTAAAAATCAAAAGGGATTAATCCTTTCTAGCAAAGGATCAATCCTATTTTGAAAAACCTAGAAAATGCATATATGAACATGCAATAGCATGCTATTGAATGATCATACAATCGATCCTATAGTCTATGAACATGCTTGAACATAGTTGATACACTTAGAACATGTCAAAACACATATGTCACATATTTCATAACATCAATTACACAATTCAACGTGCTTTTGGAATAAAAAATCAATAATTGCATAAAATGTCAACTTTGCACAATGTTAGGATAGTCGAAGCTCAATGAACAACCAAATATTTTTCCATTCTTTTTCTTTGATTCATGCTTTGCTTCCTTAGAAGTCATGAATCTCTTGAATCTTTTGAAGAGTTTGGCCATCTCTTCTTCTTCATCATCATCCACCTCTTCACTTGAGTCTTGATTACTCTCATTGGTGGATTTGAAGGCATTGACTACCTCATTCTTCTTGTTTTTTTCCATCTTCATCTGCTTCCTTTACCATCAATTTATGAGTGAGAAGAGAACCAATAAGCTCATCAAGAGTGAGTGAATTTAAGTTTTTAGCTTTGATAATAGTCGTCTTCTTCGATTGCAAATACTTTGGGATAGAATATATATCATCTTCCTCACAAACTTCTCATTATGGATCGCTTCTCCAAATCCCTTGAGACCATTGAAAATCACGAAAAATCTATTTGTCATAACTTTGATGTCTTCATCCGGTTTCATCTTGAAATTCTCATAGTTATGGTTGAGAAGACTAATTTTGGTTTTCATGAGTGACTTGGAGCTTGTCCCATATCTCCTTGGCATTT